AGTGGGAGAGGGAAAGACAGAGAGAAACATTGATGTGAGAGAAACACACTGATTGGTTGCTTCCTGCATGAGTCCTAACCAGGGCCTGGGCCATGGAGGAGCCTGCAACCTGGGCATGTGCCCTTGACCAGAATCAAACCCTGGGCCATTTGGTCCGCAGGTCGATGCTCCATCCACTGAGCCAAACTGGCTAGGGCTGGTCATCATTTTTTATAGAAGTTGTTGTATGGGTTTAGATTGAATATACACTGGAAGTTTAGAGAGCTGGATAATGTCCATTTATTTTCTTTTTACTTTTATTTCCTATCAATAATAGGGAGTAAATTGAAAGGACATTAATTGTTGGTCTAACAAAGAAGTGTCTAAGATTGATTTATTATCCTAATAAGGTCATCACGGACCCCAGGTCCTTTTTGTCCTTACACTCTGCCATCCTCAGCTGAAAATATTTTTTTTAAATTCTCACTGGTAGATATTTTTATCCATTGCTTTTTTTAGATAGAGTGGAAGCGGGGAGAGAGGGGGGCAGGAAATCTATGTAAGAGACACATCAACTGGTTGCCTCCAACACGTGCCCCAACCTGGGCCAGGGATCGAGCCTACAACTGAGGTAGGTGCCCTTGACCAGGAATTGAATACATGACACTTGGGTGTGCTGGCCGATGCTCTAACCACTGAGCAACAGGTCAGGTCTCAGCTGGAAAATTTTAATCTTGAGACATCATGGTTGCAAAATGGCTGCTATAGCTTCAGGCATTCAACCGTACACAATAGCTTCCAAAGCAGGTATCATCAGTCGCATCTTATATTCCAAGTTTGACAAGTATAAATGTATATATACATATATATATTCTGTTTCATACTTCATCATCTATATAGTTTGCAGTATCTGCTTTTTTGACTAGCTGTGCTTCATATACATTTCCCATTCTAAACTTGACTAGTGGCTATAAAATAACTTGTTAATATCATTTGTTTGCTCACTTTCCTATTATCAGACTTTAATTTTCACCATAATAAAGAATTTGTGATGAATGTGTCTTAGAATGCTGATGTACCAGTAACGTTGGGCTGTGCACCCCAGGTACCCCTGTCTCTCCAGTTGGTCACAGTCCCTCCCATTCTGCATGGAGAGTCCCCTCTCAGGAGTGTAGTCATCTCAAGTTATTTCTCAAAGAGTGAGTATAGTATATGGCGATGTACTGACCAGATCTTCCTTTAAGAAAAAAACTGATTGGCTCAATTGCAGACTATCTGCTTTCAACCCCTTCAGAGATTGCTTCAGCTGTTGGGAGTGCTTCTTCCAATATCCCCTCCTTCCCAATGTGGGCCATATCCAATGGCTGATTGAGGTAGGGACTTAAAGGTCAAGCCATTTCAGCCCAACAGGAGAGGCTGTCTTTGGGCCGACATCAGAGCTCAACTTTTCCTTCTGTCTAGACCTGCTTGCATCTTATCCAGTTCACAGGTATTGATCCCTAAGAAACATCCTGTGCTTTAAACTCCATCTCAGAAGCTTGTGACGGTTGTCTTCTTTGCTTAGAGCCGGGAATAAGTGCAGAGCTTCTTACTGCCTAAGGAGGCTAAAAAGACCTGAAGGAAGAGAGAACTGCTCTTAATGTTACCGAGAAACCCCCGGATGGGCTTGGGTTGCCTGTCACTGTGTCCAATAACGAAGGCAGGGTTGAATCATATAAGGCGTTTACTGAGGCCTGACAACCAAGAAAACAGGGTGCTTACAAGCATTCAAATCCTGTCTTACAGCAAGGTGCAGGGGACAGGATTATAAAGGGGAAGGGGCTAAGGTGAGGCTGGGAATGGAATTCAGCTACGTGCATCCCTGGGGGTCTACCTTCGTCAGCTATTGTCCTTAGTCATCAGGTAATGAGGTAATGTTGATGAGATGATGTTGATAAAATGATGTTTTGACTCCTGGTGGGTTGGTCTGACCCTGCTTATCAGTTCTGCTTGAAGAATTCACAGCGGAGTCACCTCCTCAATTGCTTTGCACAGACCTTCAAAAGGAAACTTAAGAAAAGCTTAACCCCCTATTCACATATAAGAAACTTAAATCCCTATTCACATAAGTATATGTGTTCTAAGATTCAAAATAATATGATTATTTTTCAGATTAATTCAGATGCTCTATCACATTATAAATCCCCCTATCATTAATATGAGACAGATCTCCCATATGGAATTGGAGAATCCAATAATTTTTAGAGGAATTCCAGTTCAACTCTGAATATGGAAAGAAAAGGGGGCAGGGTGGAAGGGGAGGAATAATAGAGTCTTTGGCATTTCTAATATATTTAAAATGTATTTTGGAAACTAAACTTCTTTGAATTGTACGCATAATAAAGTTTATTTACCATTATGAAAGTAATATACCTTTTAAAATATATTTTCATTGATTTCAGAGAGAAGGGAGAGGGAGAGAGAGATAGAAACATCCATGATTGAGAGAGAATCATGGATCGGCTGCCTCCTGCATGCCCTCTACTGGGGATCAAACCCGCAACCCTGGCATGTGCCCATAACCCAAATTGAACCTGGTACCCTTCAGTCTGCAGGCCAATGCTCTATCCACTGAGCCAAACCAGCCAGAGCTTGTATCTGTCTGAGTGGTCAGAAAGCAGGTGAAGAACCCTGGGGCAAAGCAGAACATATAACCAGGCTTCTCTAGTTGTGGGGGGCGGGGTGTCTTTGTCAAATGGCCATGGCCCAGCTTTCTTCACCTCCCCACTTTCCATTTCCACCCTCACTATCTCCCACCCAGAATACATGTGGTGCAGGGACCATTACTCATTTACTTATTCTGTACGGGGATTTGAATAACTGTACTATACTAGAGAGTGTCTTTGTCTGCTATAGCTGTAGGTCCCTCCCTGTAGGTAAAGGTGTGACCATGATGATGCTAACTCAATAGCACCAGACTAGGAAGTCTAGAAGGAACTATCTCTAGATTTAAGATGACTGTTTTTGAAGTTTGGGGCCTGGTACCACTTCAAAGATTAAGGATCTACCACTTACTAGAATTCCATATTTAATTATTTAAAAAATGATTCCATTCCAACTTCCAAATGAGTTAAAATTTTATAATTAAACTAGAGGCCCAGCTCATGATTGAAATCATGCGAGGAGGCACCCTGCGGGCCGCCGCGGGAGTCAGGCCGGACCCGCGCCGCAAGCTGCCAGGACCCACGCCTGACTCGTTCAGCGCCAGCTGTAGGCCTGACTGGCACTGCAGGCGACCAGGACCCGTGCCTGACTTCTGCCCAGGCCCCTCCTGCCCCCCTGCCTTTGTCTGCTCTGGGGCTGCCCGAGCTGGCACAGTGGCTCAGCCAACCCCAGGCCTCCCTGGCCCCTCTGCCTGTGTCCACTCTGGGCCGCCGGAGCCACCGTGATGGCTTGGGCAGGCCCCCCTGTGTCTGTCTCTGTCTTTGCTCTGGGCCTTACCTGCACGGGCAACCTCCTCCTGTCTGGTCATGACCCATTACGGAGTCCCAGCCTAATTTGCATATTACCTCTTTATATGTATAGATACAGACTTTCTCACTGAGTCTGTGGTTTTTCAAGGGTAGCAAGTCTCATCAAGAAATTCTACTTTAGCCCTACCCAGTTTGGCTCAGTGGATAGAGTGTCGGCCTGCAGACCGAAGAGTCCCAATTTCGGTTTCAGTCAAGGGCACATACCTTGGTTGCAGGGTCCTCCCCGGTCTGGGCCCTGGTCTGGATACATGCAAGGAGCAACCAATCGATATGTTTCTCTCACATTGATGTTTCTCTCTGTCTTTCCCTTTCTCTTTCACTTGCCCTAAAAATCAATGAAAAAATATTCTCAAGTGAGGATTAAAAAAAAAAAGAAATTTTACTTTACCTATGTCTTGGTGAGAGGTTCTTAATAAACATCCATCTTGTTGATTTTAGCCCTCATTTCCTTATACCAACGCAGTTTTGTATTTATTTTGTCACTAAAACATTTGATTTGACTCCTTATCCTCCACCCAAATTCACTTCAGAAGATGGACTGAAAGGGAACACTTGTATACTGCTGGTGGGAATGCAGACTGGTGCAGCCACTGTGGAAAGCAGTGTGGAGTTTCCTCAAAAAATAAAAAATGGGCCCAACCGGTTTGGCTCAGTGGATAGAGCGTTAGCCTGTTGACTCAAGGGTCCCAGGTTCGATTCTGGTCAAGGGCATGTACCTTGGTTGCGAGCACATCCCCAGTGGGGAGTGTGCAGGAGGCAGCTGATCGATGTTTCTCTCTCATCAATGTTTCTAACTCTCTATCCCTCTCCATTCCTCTCTGTAAAAATTCAATAAAATATATTTATAAAAAAATGGAACTCCCATTTGACCCAGTAATCCCACTTCTAGGAATATATCCCAAGAAACCATAATCATCGATCAGAAAGAATATATGCATCCCTATATTCATAGCAGCACAATTTACAATAGGTAAGATTTGGAAATGGCCTAAGTGCCCATCAGCTGATGAGTGGATAAAAAAGCTGTTATGCTAAGCTAAATAAGCCAATCCGAAAGAATTTTTAAAAAATAAAAAACTACTCAACCATAAAAAAAGAAAGAAGAGGGACTGATTTTCAGTTCTACTGGATGTCTTTGATGGATGAAGAAACCGTGGGCTGTATCAGTCACACACCTTTTACTGTCTCCCCTGGCATGAGATTCGTGTATATTGTCATCTCTTCAGAGTGAAGTTGACTTTCTTTCTATCCCAAGTCCAGAATTTCAGTTGGCATATGTTGATTCCCAAACAGTCTGAAGCTCATGTTGATGGGTTCTGGGCAGCGCAGCCCAGCCAGGTTCACTCTGAGAGGGCCCCTGTCCCTTCATGAATGACCATAGAAGCTTTCACTCCTGGCTCTGTATTATAATAGCCCCTCTTGCATGGACTGTGCCAAAGCAATGCTTTGAAATATCCATCCTTATCATGTCGCTTTTCTTGCTGCAGTTTCTGTTCTTTTTTGTTGTAGGATCTGGAGACTCACCGCTAGAAGATGATGACATGGGGTACTCACACCCTAGATATAAAGGTGAATGCTTTGCTTCTGTGCTAATAAGGACCTGCTGATGCCAGGAGAACTTTCCTTTTTGCCCTGCAGAGTATATTATAATAAAGTGACCAAACAGTGTCATTAAGTTTTAATTATCTGTCCAGAAAAAAATATTTAAAATTAATACACATATGTTCCCATTTTTTTACAAATAAAGAAAACAAAAAGCATTTGGAAATCTCTGAAGTGCTGACCTTCAGCACCCCAGTGGTCATTTTATTCTTCTAAGTTTCTTTACTGTCATTAATTCTGCAAAGCCAAGCTCTAGCTGATGAAAGTGAAAATCAAGCTATGAGTTCTGCCTGATTCATACATTACAGCCAGAATTGTCCAGAGCAAACCATCCAATGTCCAATCTGGACCCAGTGCTGCTAATGTACTGAGATGAATGGGGACTGAGAAAACTTGATTTTCATAAGCTCATTTCCTCATGCTCTTTCTGAGTCCAACTTTGCTCTTGAAATGATGAGAAAAGTCTGTTGCCCCATGAAACTTTAATCTAATGATCAAGAACTCCATCTCTGCACATTTCCAGCAATCCATCCCCCAGCAAGTATAAAAAGCCTAGACAAGAACCTTCTTATGCAGGTTTAGGTAAGTATGCCCACAAATATTTCTATTTGTGAGTCATTTCTCTGAAGCTTAGGGAACCCTGGGAAAAGCAAAGGTAAATTTAAATGATTTCTTTCTGAATCTGTTTCCCTTTGTGGTAGGGAAATAATTTGAAGCAAATTGGTTAATAAGGTTCCATTGTGGGTATTTTGCCAAGGAAATGTGTCCACATTCTGGCAAGAGGACACTGCCCTGTTCTGTTGTGATGTCTCAGATATAGGAGAATCAGTGGGAACGAGTCCTTCAGTTATTTTCCACATGAGTGAACCCTCTTTCTAATGCTCAGTTGTGTTTACCACCATAGTCCACATTTGCTTTTGACCTGTGAAGACAAATATGTATTCCTATCCACAGCTGCTATATTAAGTAAATGCCTCAGGAATAAACTAGTCAAGGAAAGTACGAACTTGTTAAGTAGATGTTTTGGGTAAGGAAGTATTGTGATTCCTAACACTTCTTCACTAATAGAGGTTTTAAAAAATCTTTTTTCCCCCTTTGAGTCCCTTATTGACAAATCTCCCTAAAACACATGCATGCACAAATGACTCATCACATGTACAATAGGGGTTGTCTAGTGCTCTTGAATCATTGTTCCCTGTGTCCACCCTCACCTTACAGCATTGCAAGTATGGAATGTAGACCAGATGGCCAAAATAGGTGCCTGCCTACAGATTACCCTAAATATTTCAGAATAAATACTTCTTTGGGGATTGTTTGTATTGCCAGTTTTTTAGTTTTAAAGCTTAGAGACCAACCATTGTTAATGGGGGATTTAACTCTAGATATTCCAGCTCCTGCACAGTGCCTGGTACAGAGTATATATTCAGTAAGGGTTTTTTATATTCAAAATTTAAGTAAAAGAAAGAAAATGAAATTTAACCCATATGTATTATGTTCCAAGAATGTGGCAAGCATGGCTTTTGATTCTTTTACTTGGAATGCCATCATGTTGTCATCCTAATTGATGGGAAGGAGAAGGCAGGTAGGGATATGTTGCTATTCCTTATTTACAGATGGAGGAACCAGTGATTAGAGAAGGTAAGTGACTTGCCCAGAGTCACACAGTGAGAAAACATTCCATTTTGGGTCTGAAATTCAGATGTTTTAACTCAATATCCAGAGTTTTCTAGTTCGTCATTAGTCTACAACAGGACACAGCCTATCCCAGCAACTTCAGTCAATTGGATAGTTACCACATTGGCCCAGGAAGATGAAAATGCTTTCCTGATTAATCTATCTAGATTTTTCCCTACATAAACCCTGTCCTAATGAAGCAGCATAAGAGCTTCCCTTCTCTAGACCTCTATGTTAAATGTTTTGCTAATTCACTGTAACTTACGGCGCTTGTACTAGTATGCCTTTAGAATTCAAGCCACTCATGGATGACATAATTACTATCACTGCCACACTGTCCAAATATCTTTCAAATATTTGTCTTAGAGAGTAATCCAAAATAAATTCCATTTCTGAATAAGTGAAAACAAGATTCTTTTCCACATGATGACAACAGCACAAGTTTTAGATCTGCAGCCAGCACTTCTAAGAGGATTTGAGCACTCAGAATATGGGGCAAAATCTGATAATGGCATGTTGTATCAAAATATGTGAATTTGTGATCTATGTATACCCAGGTCATTCTCTAATGTACCTGCTAGTCTTTTTTTTTTCTAATTGATTTCATAGAGGAAGGGAGAGGGAGAGAGAGATAGAAACATGCATGATGAGAGAGAATCATTGATCAACTACCTCCTGCACGTCCCCTACTGGGGGCAGAACCCGCAATCCTGGCATGTGCCCTTGACTGAAATCAAACTCAGGACCCTTCAGTCCTCAGGCCGATGCTCAACCACCAAGCCACACCAGCTAGGGCTACCTGCTAGTCTTAAATATACATCATGTAGAAAAGACAACCAGAATGTGTGTGCTAACCATGGCAGGTATCCTGCCTCATTTTTGTTTACTCTAAATTTTTGTCCCTCCTAAACTCATTCCAAAGTCCAGAAGCTGGAGGATGGGAAGGTTTTCAACATCAGAGTGAAAAAAAACAAGTGGAGAACTGGACACTCTTCCAGTTTGTGTATCAATAGAATTGTGATTAGGATCCAGAATCCAAAAAAAGATTTTCCCTCAGCTAGAAAGGTTACAAGAGACTACCCAAAGTAATAAGAAAAATGAGGAAGGAGGTGGGCATGGGTGTGAGATGGGTAGCAGATCAGAGAGAAAGAAGAAGACAGAGTTTGAAACATACAACTTTATTTTTTTTTAAATATATTTTTATTGATTTCAGAGAGGAAGGGAGAGGGAGAGAGATAGAAACATCAATGATGAGACAGAACCATTGATTGACTGCCTCCTGCATGCCTCCTCCCACACACACACACACACTGGGGATGGAGCCCATAACCCCGACATGTACCCTTGACCAGAATCAAACCTGGGACTTTTCAGCCTACAGGCTGATGCTCTATCCACTGAGCAAAACTGGCTAGGGCTGAACCATACAATTTTAAAGCATGATGGGGCTTTTAAAATAAATTAATCTGACCTAGCCAGTTTTGCTCAGTGGGTAGAGCATGAGACTGCAGACCAAAGGGTCCCGGGTTCAATTCTGGTCAAGGGCATGTACTTTGGTTGCAGGCTCCTCCCTGGCCCAGACCCTGGTTGGGCTCATGCAGGAGGCAACCAATTGATGAATTTCTCTCTGTCTTTCCCTCTCTCTTCCAATCTTCCTGAAGATCAATGGAAAAATATCCTTGGGTGAGGATTAATAAAAAAAAAGAAAATAATTTAATCCACTTCTGTATCTTGTAGAGGAGGAATCATTTTAGTGAATTGTCCAGGGTTACTAGGAGATGATAGAGGTAGGAAAAGTGCCCAGGCATCTTGATTCTTTGCTCAATATTGTATCCAGTAGACCACACTAGCTCATTATGTTTTTGTCACCATCCTCTGGGTCTCCCATATTCACTCTCACCACCTCATCCTTCCCTTACCTCCAATGGGGGTTTCATTTGCTCTCCCTGGAGCCCAATTCTCAGTCAAGGATTCCATAGTTTGGAAAAGAGGCGGTAAAGGGGAGCCAATTGGCAAGAGAAGACTAGAGATAGGGAAGCACAGAAGCACTGCAGTGTAGAAGGGGAAAGGGGCAGATAGGGAAACTAAGGAAAGAGATACTATAAAAAGTGCTTCTTTGAGCCCTAGCTGGTTTGTCTCAGTGGATAGAGCATTAGCCTGTGAACAAAGGGTCCCAGGTTCCATTCCAGTCAAGGACACATGCCCAGGTTGTGAGCTTGATCCTCAGTAGGGGGCGTGCAGGAGGCAGCTGAATGATTCTCTCTCATCATGATGTTTCCGTCTCTCACTTTCTCCCTTCCTCTCTGAAATCAATAGAAATATATTTTTAAAAGTGCTTCCTTGAGATTAAAAATACCAAGGGCATTTGGGTACGTCCTTGTAGGTGATCTTTCCTATTACAGTTGGGCAAGAAAGACAGAAAGAGACAAGGAGAGAAATATACTTCATTTCTAGTCACAGAATCCAGTCATTTCCAAATCTCTCTCTCTCTCTCTCTTTTTTTTTTTGAGTGGTAGGTGCATGTGTGGATTTTTTTCAGAATGTTTCTTCAGGACTTTGATCATGGAAGACATATCCACAACTTGGCAATGCTAAGCAGGTATACCCCAAGGGCTTTTCATTTATCTGTGATCTTGAAATCTAGTTTCATGGCCTACCTGGAGCCAGCACGAAAGAAAGCACTAAAGCATTTAAAATTAGTTCAATACTCTTTTATATGTAGAAGAAAATAATGGAGACATATATGCTGGTTTTGGTTTGTTTGTTTGTTTTTTAGGGAATATGTTATCTGTTGAAAAAACAAAAACAAAAAACGCTAAATTTTTTTTCCACCCACAAACACATGAAAAGAGCAGAAACCAGTTAATCTATGTGATGTATTTTCACACTTTTACAAATTAAAACAGAAACATATTCAGAATTTAACCTGATTAAATATTTAGTTCAATCCTGAGCTTTTGATATTTAATACAATATCAATAAAGTGATAGCAAAAAATGATTTAAAATTTATTTGATTTGCATGTGACAGAGATTCAGCTAAACATTGTTCATGTGGCTAGCAGTATGCTTTTTGTACCTGTAACACTTAGATTCTGATATACAAAATTGTAGTAACATATGGATAATTCAAACTTGAAAACTAAATATTACATTCTTTTTATCCTATGCAGAATATATCCTGCCTTTAAAAAATAACATTTATAATACTAAAATTCACTTCAGGGTCCAGATTTTTCTCATTTAAAAGTGTTAGCACATACAGACTAAAATGTGTCAACTGTCAAGGAAAGAAACTCTATCCAAGCATGGTCTGTAGGTCTGGTGTAAGCTCCTACAAGTCTATATTCATATGGTCAAATTTATTTATTTATTTTTAAAATATATTTTTATTGATTTCAGACAGGAAGGGAGAGAGAGAGAAAAAAAACATTAATAATGAGAGAGAATCATTGATTGGCTGCTCCTGCACACCCCCTCACTAGGGACCGAGCCCACAACCCCAGGCATGTGTCCTTGACTGGAATTGAACCAGGGACCCTTCAGTCTGCAGGCCGACACTCTATCTATTGAGCCAAACCAGCTAGGGCCACATGGTCGAATTTAATCAGCTCTACAATACACCTTCAGGACACAATTTTCACTCACAAAGTCCAGGGAATACTGCTTGAGTCCTGACTCTAAGACCCATTTGAGGCTGTTGACAAAACATTATATCATGAGACAGGACAGCATGAAGGTCAAAAATGTAGTCTATGGCCCTGGCCGTTTGGGCTCAGTGAATAGAGCATAGGCCTGCAGACCAAGGGGTCCCAGGTTTGATTCAGGTCAAGGGCACATGCCCGAGTTTTGGGTTCTATCCCCAGTGGGGGGTGTGCAGGAGGCAGCCAACCAGTGATTCTCTCTCATCATGGATGTTTCTATCTCTCTCTCCCTGTTCCTCCTCTCTGAAATATATATATATTTCAATATATATTTTTATATATATATATATATATATATATATATATATATATATATATATATATAAATAGTATGATGAATTTTTTTTAAAAAAAATTTTAATGCAGTCTATGCACCATCCCTGGACAAGGCTGAGCAGGACTCAAACACATCCTGGAAGAGAATTCCTGGAATAGTCAAATGTGGTCTATCCTCCTTCCTGGCCACATGATGGCGCATGCACCCCACGCCCTGACAGCTCAGGTGCTGAGGTGGAACGAAGGCCTGGCAGGTTGGAGGGAGCTGCTCATCAGTCCCCATTGATTGCACAGTGCCCACTGTGAACTAGTCTTGCCCTAATATTTTTTTAATTATTTAAAAATATATTTTTATTGATTTCAGACAGGAAGGGAGAGGGAGAGAGAGATAGAAACATCCATGATGAGAGAGAATCATGGATTGGCTGCCTCCTGCATGCCCCACTCTGGGAATCGAGCCCACAACTTGGGCATGTGCTCTGACTGGGAATTGAACCCTGACCTCCTGGGTCATAGGTCAATGCTCAACCACTGAGCCATGCCAGCCGGGGTCCCTAATAATTTTATGGCTCTCATTTCAAGCACATTCCGAAGCACAGGAAGAACCTCTGATGTATTAGTGTCATCCTAACTGTGCCCTGGGCAACTACCAAGCCAACATGGAAACACCTGGAACTGTGTCATTTGTGAAGGGTGTCATACTATCCTAACTACATGGGACATAACTAAGAATATCTGGAAAGGGGAGTAATAATCCTGTTACTTTAAGTCAAAATTATATACTGTGGAGAAAACCCTGGAAATAGTTGCTTTCTTCCCATTAATTAAAATAGTATGATGAATTTTTACAGAGAATATGCAGACAGACTTGACAAAAATCAAACTTATTTTTCATCATATTTAATGTTGTAATTGAATGTATTGGGGTGCTATTGTTTAATAAAATTATATGTTTTTTTTTGGTTGTTAATCCTCATTCAAGAATATTTTTCCATTGATTTGTAGGGAGAGTAGAAGAGAGAGGGAAAGACAGAAATATCGATGTGAGAGAAACACATAGTTTGGTTGCCTCCTGCACCTACCTTGCATGGCTTCCACCCCTACTGTCCTGCACCCCGACCAGGGCTTGAGCCCAGGAGGAACCTGCAACCAAGGTACATGCCCTTGACCAGAATCAAACCCAGGACCTTTAGGTCTGTAGACCAACATTATATCCACTGAGCCAAACAAGCTAGGGCAAATTATATAAGTTTCAGGGGTATAATTCTATAATACATCATCCATATATTGTATTGTGTGTTTGCCACCCCAAGTCAAGTCTCCTTCATCACCATTTATCCCCTCTTTACCCTCTTCTACTTCCATATCCCTTCCCTCTGGGAATCACCCTACTCTTGTCTGTATCCATTATTTTTTTTTGTTTTGTTTAACCCCTTCACCTTTTTCACCCAGCCACCCCAAACCCCCTCCCCTCTAACAACTATCACTCTCCTGCCATGATGTATGGATGGTTGGGGTTCACAATATTATCAATTGCCTTGAAGAAAATTATGTGTCCCATTAAGGGAAATCTTGAAAGGAGCAAGTGTTTCTTGAATGTTTACTATGTGGTAGGCACTGTGCTAGGCAGTCAGTATGTATTATTTTTTGGGTCCTCAGAAGAGCCCTATGACATAGGCATAGGCATCCACTTAGAGAGGTTAAGTAACGTGTCCAAGATCACAAAGCTAGTCATGGAGGCAGCTGCATCCATATTCAGGTATGTCTGACACATAATCTTGTGATCCTAACCTCCCCACCCATAGACATCTTAAAAAACACGAGGCACTATTTGGAAGTCCAAAATCTGGAATACAAAATAAATAAATAAATAAATAAATAAATAAACAAATAAATAAATAAATAAAATTTTAAAATATTAAAAAATCTGGAATGCAGCCAGTCAGAGATTTCTAGAATGAGGAAACACATTTTCTGAAGATGTCCTTTCTTATCTCTCCCCTTCTTTGTTTCTGTCACCTGCAGATACCCCATGGTGCTCCCCTGTCAAGGTGAAGTACGGGGATGTGTACTGCAGGGCCCCTCAAGGAGGGTACTACACAACAGCCCTGGGGACCCGGTGTGATATTCGCTGCCAGAAGGGCTATGAGCTGCATGGCTCTTCCCCGCTGATCTGCCAGTCGAACAAACGGTGGTCCCACAAGGTCATCTGCAAGCGTGAGTAACCCAGCCCTGTGTAGGGTCCTCAGGGCCAATTGGTGCCAGATTCGTTTGCTCTTACAGGCTGTTTGTTGAACATTTTGTGCCAGGGCAAACAAGGTGTCATTCATGCTCTAGATCTTGCAGGGAGCAGACTGAGGCTGACTTTGTCAGGTCATACCTTGCATAGCTTCCATCCCTACTGCCCTGCCTCCCCGACCCCTCCCTGGTCTCCCCTGGGACCACTTTCTTACTAAATCCCTTACACACAAATTCTTATCTCAGGGTCTGCTTCTCAGGAACCTAACTTAAGATATTGGCTTAGCTGTGATGCCAACCCAAGTCAGTCTCATACAAAACTTCATGTCCCTTCTGTGTGACCTTCAACCATCCATTGTTTCCATGCATTCTATCATCTATATCTATCTATCTATCTATCATCTATCTATCTATCTATCTATATCTATCTATCTATCTATCTCTATCTATCATCTATCTATCTATCTATCTATCTATCATCTATCATCTATCTATATCTATCATCTAACTATTTTATCATTTTTTATTTTCAATTACAGTTGACATACATTATTACATTAGTTTCAGGTGTACACCCCAATTATTAGACATTACATAAGTGATTATCCCATTAAATCTCGTACCTATCTGACTCCATACATAGTTATTAGAATGTTATTGACACCAATGGACATGGACAGTAGGGGGGTGAGGGCCTGTGCTGGGAATTGGGAGCGGGCGGGGAGAGGTCAATGGGGGGAAAAGGAGACATATGTAATACTTTCAACAATAAAGAATTAAAAAAGAAAGAAAGAAAAAAATATTCTGCATTCACAAACATCTTTCTGTCCTATTCAGGCCTCAGCAGTCTTTACCTATAAAGCACATTAATATGATTTTTAAAAATCATATTAATGCTATTGATTATATTTCCTTATCTGAAATTTTCATCCCCAAGATTATATGAAATGTTAAAGGGTCTTCTTTAAGAAGAAGAAGAAGAAGAAGGGACAAAAAGATAGTAATGTGAACTATAAAATGGTGATAAATCCATATCTATCAACAATTAAAACTAAAATGCAAAATAAACAAATAAGCAGAACAGAAACAGGCTCATACATACAGAGTACGTATGAGCTTTTCCACGGTTTCCAAATTGGGGGGGAGGGGGAGGGGTTGGAGAGGTGGGTGAAAAAGGTGAAGGGATTAAGAAGTACAAATTGGTTGTCCATTGTATTTATTTTATTATTTTTAAAAAAATATTTTTATTGATTTCAGAGAGGAAGAGAGAGAGAGAGAGATAGAAACATCCATGATGAAAGAGAATCATGGATCGGCTGCCTCCTGCATACCCCCCACTGGGGATGGAGCCCGAAACCCGGGCATGCGCCCTGACCAGGAATCAAACCGTGACCTCCTGGTTCATAGGTCAAGGCTCAACCACTGAGCCAAATTGGCTAGGGCAGTTGTCCAGTGTATTTAAATTAACTCTTCACCCTATGCTCTCAGAGTTTCTGGACTGTGAAATTCTATGGACAAAGACTACGGAATACTGAATGTCTGCTTTGCTGTTTCAGAGAAGCGATGCCCTACACTTGCCATGCCAGCAAATGGAGGGTTCAAGTGCGTAGATGGCGCCTACTTTAACTCTCGGTGTGAGTACTATTGTTCACCAGGATACACGTTGAAAGGGGAGCGGACGGTCATGTGTATGGACAACAAGGCCTGGAGCGGTCAACCAGCCTCCTGTGTTGGTAAGAAACTATCACAGTCCTCAGGAGGCACATACTTTGGAAGGAGCAGGGGATGTTTGAAAGGAAGCATCAAAATCCTGCGAGTAAAGCATAGCACCCAACTTTGATTTCAGTAGCTTCCTTCAGCCCAAGTTCTCTGGCTCAGCCAAACCTACCCTCAATCTCTATTCTCCATAGATGATGGCTTTCATCTGACATTTGTCTCATATACAGTATATTATTTATTTTTTAGAGAGAGAGAGGGAGAGGGAGAGAGAGAAACATCAATGATGAGAGAGAATCATGGATTGGCTGCCTCCTGCACAACCCATACTGGGGATCGAGCCCACAACCTGGGCATGTGCCCTTGACTGGAATCAAACCAGGGACCTTTCAGTCTGCAGGCCAATGCTCTAGCCACTGAAACCAGCCCTTCTATGCCTTTGCACATGCTGTTCCCTCTGCCTGGACACTTAGCCCTTTTCGTTAATTACCTAGCAAGCTCCCACTCAGGCTTTCGGGCAACTTCCATCACCCATGAGGTTTTCCCTAACTAGACTGAGGGACAGTCTTCCGATAGTGCTAAGATTGGGGAGAAGAGCTTAACATTATCCCCATGAACATAAGCCCATCAAAACCTGGAAGCAGAGAACATAAGTGGGTGCCAGGTGAAAGGCAGCCTTCTTCTTGTCCTCATTGTCCTTGTTTCTATTTGGAAAATGTCCTTCCCAGTATGGGTGGTTGAACACAACCTATGTCCACCATCTGGAAATCCATTCAAAGACCTTAAACTCATTCTGACTATGGAGGATTGACCTGGGAGAGGGGATATTGTTACCGGGAAACCCCTGGTTGGGCTCAGGCTGCCTGTCGCTATGTCCAATAATGAAGGCAGAGTTGAATCATATAAGGTGTTTATTAAGAAGGCCAGCCAACCAAGAGAACAGGGTGCTTACAAGCATCAAATCCTGCCTTACCTTATGGCAAGGTGTAGGGGACAGGACTATAAAGGGGAGTAGGCTGAGGAATAGAGGTTGGCAAACGGTCAGGTATTGTCAGGAGATGAGATGATGTTGACGAGATGTTTTGACTCCAGCTGAGTCACCTCCTCCATCGCTCTGCACAGGCTTTGAAAAGGAAACTTAAGGAAAACTTAACCTCCTATTCACATATAAGAAACTTAAATCCCTATTCACATACATATATGTGTTCTAAGATTTTAAATAATTTTATTAGCTCGGCTGGTGTGGCTCAGTGGTTGAGCATTGACCTATGAGCCAGGAGGTCATGGTTTGATTTCCAGGCAGGGCATATGCCCGAGTTGCGGGCTCAATCCCTCAGTGGATGGAGAGTTGGCCTGTGGGCTGATGGGTCCCAGGTTTGATTCTGGTCAAGGGCACATGGCTGAGTTGCAGGCTTGATCCCCAATGTGTGGCATGCAGGAGGCAGCCAATCCATGATTCTCTCTCATCATGGATGTTTCTATCTCTCTCCTTCTCCCTTCCTCTCTGAAATTAATAAAGTTCTATTTAAAAATAAAATAATATGATTATTTTTTAGATTAACTCAGGTGCTCTATCTATCAGATTATCGGTCCCCCTATCATTATGATGGGATGTGTAGGTTGCCATGCTCACCCCTCTACTCCACACAGGTATTCTTACAGTTCTTGCTAACTCTGATCCTCTCTGATTCCCAGGGCTGTCCCACTGCTGCCTACACAGTGGTTGGTGATCCCCTCTCACTCTTTTACACTTGTCCCATATTCTGGACAGTCAATAGTCACCTTGGTGAGGAAAAAAAAGAATGTGTGTGCAGAGGTTGGAGGAAAATACTAGGTGAGCAGCAGGCAAACACACACAAATCATTTGGCTTATTAACATAATTTTAAAATACTTGATTACGTCTTAAATCCCAGACCACACGGAAACTCCAAATGTGAGGAAATACTTTCCAGTTTATAAATGAGGAGAATGATAACAATCCTTCCTCAAGTGGGTAGCTGTGAGAATTCGATGAAATAATGCAGAGATAGTAAGTTAGCATGAGGTGACCATAGAGGAGGGTCCAGTCAATATTTACCATTATTTTTAGTAATTTATTTCTTCTTGTTTCTCCACTGGAAAAGCACTGCTTCAGCAAAACTAGGCCATTTTCGAGGGATCATTGTTAGCTAGCCATAAGCTGGCTTTTCGAAACTCTGAGACTCATCACCCAGTTGACCTAATTTAGAGCTCACAGTGTCAGTATATCTCAATGATACAGAAAACAACCTAGCATATCATCCAGATGTTTAGTGTACATGACACAGAGACTAAGAGAATCTCTTCACTCTAACAATGTCGCTCCAAGAAAAGGTAGTAGGACAATGTAATTGTACATTGAAATCTATCTCCTCTCCTCTAACCCTCCCCTTTTGCTTTAAATTTTTTCTATTTAGCCGTAGCTGGTTTGGCTCAGTGGATAGAGTGTTGACCTGGGGACTGAAGGGTTCCAGATTCGATTCTGATCAAGGGCATGTGGCTGGGTTGTGGGCTCGATCCCTAGTGTGTGGTGGGGGGGCATGCAGGAGGCATCTGATCCATGATTCTCTCTCATTATTGATGTTTCTATCTCTCTCTCCCTCTCCCTCCCTCTCTGAAATCAATTATATATTTTTATATAAAAATATTGAATGTATTGGGGCAACATTAATTAATAAAATTATATAGGTTTCAGGGGTACAATTCTATAATACCTTATCTGTATATTGTATTGTGTGTTCACCACCCCAATTCAGGTCTCCTTCCATCACCATTTATCTCTGCTTTAGCCTCTTCTACCTCCCCCTACCCCCTTTCCCTCTAGCAATCATCATACTGTTGTCTGAGTCTATGAAATTTTGGGGGGGGGTTACTTAATTCCTTAACCTTTTACACCTAGCCCTGCAACCCCCCTTCCCTCTGACAGCTGTCAGTTTGTTTTCTGTATCTATGGGTCTGTTTCTATTTTGTTTTAGTTTATTTTGTTCATTAGATTCCACATATAAGTGACATCATATGGTATTTGTCTTTCTCTGACTGGCTTATTTCACTTAGCATAATACTCTCGAGGTCCCTCCATGCTGTCACAAAAGGTAAGATTTCTTTTTTTTATGCCCAAGTAGTATTCCGTTGTGTAAATGTACCACAGCTTTTTTATCCACTCATCTACTGATGGACACTTGGGCTTTACATTTTTAAAAAATAAATATGCTTTCTATTATGAAATTGCCAGTTATATTTGACCAGAAAGGGTCAGATATTGTATACTTGTCTTTCTGATTCACCCTAGGCTGTTCCAGGGCTTGTTCCAGGGGTAAGTGCTCCAACTTAGGTTTTAATTCACACTGTCACTATGTACATGCATGGCCTTAAATAAATCACTTAAGCTCTCTGAGCCTCAGCTTACACATCTGTAAAATGAGAACATTGTGTGGCTTCTGTAAGCCTTCATAGCATTTTCTTTTATTTCTCCTGAGGCAGTGCTATTTCTACCTTGTCACACTTTATGTGTGCTGACATAATCCCCTTAATAGACTGTAAACTCTTTGAGAATCACATGATTCTCTTGCCTTTGTGTGCCTCAACCCCAGGAGTTGGGATGATACATTGGGTAAGGCAGGCACTTACTAAAAATTTGTGGTGTTGAATTCCATTGAACTGGATTATAACTAAGGTACCTTTCTATAATGTTTTATGATGCTGTTTTTAAAGTAGGAAAGACTCACTATGGCTGAATGCCTTCTACATTTTGCTGAGTTACTGCCATATTGCCAAGTCAGTAGGCAGAATTTAGAAACATGAGGAAGAAGACGCTATAGGGTGTCCCAAAATTCATGCAAGATTTGCAATTCAATTCAATTGCAAATCTTGTGTGAATTTTGGGACACCCTACATAGCTAAAAAATTATGCTATATGACATCTAGAAAGGCCAGTTGAATGCAGGTTTAGTCATGCACATGTAAGTACTCAAACCATGTTAAATCTCAGCAAGAGAGAAGGAGCAAGATGAAGGAAAAGAAATACAGAGGGGAGTTGTTAACAAACCCTTCAAAGATGAGGAGTACCGCCCTAGCCAGTTTGGCTCAGTGGATAGAGTATCGGCCTGTGGACTGAAGGGTCCCAGGTTTGATTTCAGTCAAAGGCACATGCGCAGGTTGCTGAATCAATCCCCAGTGTGGGGCATGCAGGAGGCAGCCAATCCATGATTCTCTCTTATCATGGCTGTGTCTATCTCTCTCTCCCTCTCCCTTCCTGTCTGAAATCAATAAAAATGTATTTAAAAGAACAAAAAAAATGAGGAGTGCCTAGAGCTTTGGGCATGTCAAATGCTGGGTGTCAAACCCCAAGTGGATGAGATAGTTTCTTGACGATGTTGAGAATACTCTGGTATGTTTTCAGATATGGAACCTCCTAGAATCAAGTGCCCAAGCGTGAAGGAACGTATGGCTGAACCCAATAAGCTGACAGTCCGGGTGTCCTGGGATACACCCGAGGGAAGAGACACAGCAGACGGCATTCTAACTGAGTGAGTGAAACTTGTCAGATGGAATGATGCTAATATATATACTAGTAGCCCAGTGCACGAAATTCGTGCACATTAAAGGGAATTAATTGCCCTAACCGGTTTGGCTCAGTGGATAGAGCATCAGCCTGCGGATTCAAGGGTCCCAGGTTCGATTACGGTCAAGGGCATGTACCTTGATTGCGGGCACATCCCCAGTGGGGAGTGTGCAGGAGGCAGCTGATCGATGTTTCTCTCTCATCGATGTTTCTAATTCTCTATCCCTCTCCCTTCCTCTCTGTAAAAAATCAATAAAATATATTTTTTTAAAAAAGGGAATTAATTAGCAGAAATATTTTAATATTGCTATTTGCCTTTTCTCTATAATAGAAGTGTGAGAGATAAAAGGAAATTAGTAAAATGTATATGAAAATAATATATAAATTTATTAATAAATAAACAGTAACAAAAGGATATAACAGCAACAGAGGCATGATATAAAAACAAAAACATGATATAAAAACAACAGTGATGCAAACAATGACTGATAAAGTGATTCGACTTATTCTAATATCTCCCTGTACACCACATTAAGAGTGAAAACACTTTCAGAGTGCTTGACTAATTTACCTTGTGATAAAGTACTTAGAACTTTAACTGTAACATCACATGCTCTTCAAACTCAAGAGAAAGCAACATATAACTGACCATGTGCAAAAATGGGTTCAGGTAGGAATATGCCTACTTTGTCTAGAGTTTGTCCTTGTGATTTATTAATAGTCATCACAAATGCTGGCATCACGAGAAACCGTCATTGAATCAATTTAAATGGGAGGCCAGTGTCAGATGGGGACAAATTAATTCTTGGAATCAGAACAGCCTCTCCCTCTGCAGATCCTGTTAATACTTCAGTTTCGATAATGTTAGGTCATAATCTTTTGATAATAAATTGGTACTATTACAAAGACCTCATTTACTATTGAGATTTCTCAATAGCATGATGATTGCACCCACTTTCAATTTTAATTTATGACACAGCATTCCCGAAGGAGTAATACTATTAAGAAATTAGATGGGGAAATTTTCCTTTTCAGCATCATCTGTGGAATCAATGGAATCATCACTCAAATATGTGTGAAAATCTCCATCGAGTATATCCAAATTTTCTTCATTTAATTTTTGAACATGCTCATTTTTTGGACAAAGAATTGCATGTTTAGATATATTTTTAATATTATCTATAGCAGTGGTTCTCAACCTTGGCTGCACATTAGAATCACCTGGGAATCTTTTTAAAATCCTGATTCCTGGGCCTCATCATCCGGAAATTGTTTCTTTGTTATGGGGTGGGGCCACAACATTAGTAACAAAGAAACAGAATTAAAACTTTATTGTGGGGAGCCACTACAGTGTTTTGGAGAGGTTCAAGCCTTGGACTGATGAGAGGGCACAGTCCTTTCATCACCACGGGCAAGTCCCAGCTTGGAGGGCAGGGCCCTCCCAGCACAATTATAGCCAACAGCTGTAGTTGTAAGCTTGAACCTATGATCTGAACATGTGGCCCCACGTGCCTGAGTGATGTAGGCTTGATAGAGTTCAGATGCATGTAGTTGAGTAGGATTGAAACCCAGGAGAATGTTGTAAACATCTTGGTCACACCCTTACTTTGCCTTGTAGCATCTGCTATAAAATAAAGACATGGCTGTGGGCGTGGTCACTGTCTCTCAGAGAAGCAGAGTCCCACCGAGACCCAGCTTTCATTCTCTTGTCTGTCTTTTCTAAGCCTTTCAGTTGTCCCCACTCAGGTTCACACTTGGCTGTGCTGGCACGGCACACTTTATAAAGATATGCCTCCACGCTCCCAGGGTGGGTTCCTGCCTCAAACCCCACCCTTACCGGAAACAGCTCCGGGAAACAACTTGGGGGAGGGCGCAGCCGTTGCCAAGACAACCCCTGCAGGACTGACTTTCTTCCGCTTGGTCTCGGTTCTGGTCGTGATGAACACCACCCAGGGTTTATATATATACTAGAGGCCTGGTGCACAAAAATTTGTGCACTGGGGGGGGGGGCGGGGTCCCTCAGCCCAGCCTGTGCCCTCTCGCAGTCTGGGACCCCTCGGGAGATAACGACCTGCGGGCTTAGGCCTGCTCCTGGGTGGCAGAGGGCAGGCCCAATCCCTAGGTGCAGCCCCTGGTCGGGCTCAGAGCAGGGCTGAATGGGGAGTTGGGGTGCCGCCCCCTGTCATGCATGGAGCAGGGTGGATTGGGAGGTTGCAATGCCACCCTCAGTCACGTTCAGGGTGGGGCAGATTGGGGGGTTGGGGCAACGCCCCCTGTCACACTCAAGGCAGGGTCGATGGGGAGGTTGCGGCACCACCCCCTGTCATGCACAGAGCAGGGCCAATCAGGGGGTTGGGGTGCTGCCCCCTGTCACGCACAGAGCAGGGCCCATCAGGGGGTTGGGCACTGCCCCCTGTCATGCACAGAGCAGGGCCCATCAGGGGGTTGGGGAGCTCCCCCCTGTCACGCACAGAGCAGGGCCCATCAGGGGGTTGGGGCGCCGCCACTGTCACACTCAGGGCAGGGCCGATGGGGAGGTTATGGCTCTACCCCGTCACACACAGAGCAGGGCCCGTGGGGGGGGTGGGGGGGGTTGGGGCGCCACCCTCTATCACCCACAGAGCAGGGCCAATCAGGGGGTTGGGGCGCCGCCACGGTCACACTCCGGGCAGGGCCGATGGGGAGGTTATGGCTCTACCCTGTCACACACAGAGCCGGGCCTGTGTGTGGGGGCGGGGTTGGGGCGCCGCACCCTGTCACACACAGAGCAGGGCCGATCAGGGGGTTGGGATGCCACACCCTGTCACACACAGAGCTGCAGGGCGATCAGGGGGTTTGGGCGCTGCCCTCTGTCACACTGATCCGGTGCCAGGAGGCCTCGCGGCTCCTCTGATCCCGGTGCTGGGAGGCATATTACCCTTTTACTATATAGGATAGAGGCCTGGGGGCCGGCTGGTTTGCCCTGAAGGGTGTCCCGGATCAGGGTGGGGGTCCCCACTGGGGTGCCTGGCCAGCCTGGATGAGGGGATGATGGCTGTTTGCAGCTGGTCACACACCCTTCAGGGTGGGGGTCCTCACTGGGGTGCCTGGCCAGTCTGGGTCAGGGGCTGAGGGTTGCTTTCAGGCTGGCGGTTGTTGACTGAAGCCCCCAACCGCTCCTTTTTTTCTCTTTTTAAAATTTTATTCTGGGCCAGCTTTAGCTCTGGCTCTAGCTCTGAGGCTTCCTGCTGAAAGCAGGTATCTGGTTTGTTTGCGTTCTATAATCGAAACAATGTATAACTCCAGCTCTGAGATCCCGGCCGGCTGAAAGCTGGTTTCTGGGGTTTTGTTTAGCTTCTATATTTGTTAGAATGTTTCAAACTGCCAGCTCAGAGGCCGGCAAGGCAGGCGGGGAACGTTGGAGTCCGCCATCACTGAAGCAAGCAAGCCTCATGTTCGCTTCCAGCTGCCTGGCTGCCGGCCACCATCTTGGCTGACAGTTAATTTGCATAAGGATATGCTGATTAGCCAATGGGAAGGGTAGCGGTCGTACGCTAATTACCATGTTTCTCTTTTATTAGTGTAGATTGATTTCAGAGAGGAAGGAAGAGGGAGAGAGATATAGACACATCCATGATGAGAATAATGGATTACCTGACTCCTGCACGCCCCCTACTGGGGATCGAGCCAACAACCCGGGCATATGCCTTTCATTGGAAATGAACCTGGGACCCTTCAGTCCACAGGCCAACATTCTATCTACTGAGCCAAACCAGCTAGGGCAAAACATTTTATTTTTAATTTATATTTTAAACTTCTAACCACCTTAAACAGTTACAGAAGAGTCTTCTTTAAAAAAGCATAAGGGCCGAAACCGGTTTGGCTCAGTGGATAGAGCGTCGGCCTGCGGACTGAAAGGTCCCAGGTTCGATTCCGGTCAAGGGCATGTACCTGGGTTGCGGGCACATCCCCAGTGGGAGATGTGCAGGAGGCAGCTGATCGATGTTTCTCTCTCATCGATGTTTCTAACTCTCTATCTCTCTCCCTTTCTCTCTGTAAAAAATCAATAAAATATATTTAAAAAAAATAAAATAAAATAAAAAAGCATAAGGGTTTCCTGCCTTCTTTCCCACCTCAACTCCATTCTCCAGGCCAATTGCATTTATAATTTAACATACATCTAAAATGGTTTTTAAAAAAATATATTTCTTTTTAAAAAATATATATTTTTATTTATTTCAGAGAGGAAGGGAGAGGGGGAGAAAGTTAGAAACATCAATGATAGAGAATCATGGATCGGCTACCTCCTGTGTGCCCTGCACTGGGGATGGAGCCCATAACCCAGGCATGTGCCCTTGACTGGGAATTGAACCCTGACCTCCTGGTTCATAGGTCAATGCTCAACCACAGTGCCATGCTGGCCAGGCCCCCACACCTTATGCACGCTACTGTTATACAGTCCCCTAATAAGAGGGAGGGTTCTTGTGTCAAGCTCTGCAATAAGTGCTTCCTGTGAGTTCCCTGATTTATTCCTCATGACTGTTATTTGCACATCACAAAGAAGATATAGTCTCCAAGAGGTTAGCAGTCACTCCTATTTGAAGTACAATTGCTTCCAGGTTTATGTGCAGTTCAGTCATGCTTACTGGAGACTTTAAAGCATCTAAGGCCCAAAGTGACGTGTCTCTCATGGTGGGATTTCTGGAATTTTCCCAAGACCCCTACCTTCATACCTTGTAAACAGCCACCTTAGACAAGGTTCGAAGGTATAAGGTTCTCCCCAGTGGTAACAATGATACTTTCGCATGTCCATTATTAGGAAACATTTTCATCATTCTTAAGAACTATAAAGAGCCCTAGCTGGTTTGGCTCAGTGTATAGAGCACTGGCCTGCAGACTGAAGGGTCAATTCTGGTCAAGGGGACATGCCCAGGTTGCAGGCTCAATCCCCAGTAGGGGGCGTGCAGGAGGCAGCTGATCCACAATTCTCTTTCATCATTGATGTGAGTTTTTTAAAAATATTTTTTAAAATATTTTTTTTCATTTAGAATTGAAGTACAGTATAGTTTCAGGTGCACAACCCAGTGATTAGACATTTATATAACTTACAAAGTGATCATCCCAATAAATCTAGTACCATCTAACATCATACATAGTTATTCTATCTCTCCCTCTCTCTTCCTCTCTGAAATCAATAAAAAATATATTTTAAAAATAAAATAAAATATTAAAATAATAATGATAATAAATGCCTGAGGCTAAGACCAACAGTAGTTAGCATATTGATGCAATATTCAGCAGGGCTGAGAATCAGCATAATATTGCCCTGCTGTTGGCAAATGGCTCAAGGCAATCCCCTAACATGATAATCCTTTCACTGTTTACCAAACTTTACCTTTGATATGCCTGTATGCATTCCTAAAGGGCAAATGTGTATCAAAGTGAATAAAAGCAGACATGACCCAGAAGTCTGGGAGTTTCTCCACTAGAGGGAAGTTTCCACCTGGCCCCCCATGCCTTCTAAATTCATATTTCTTGTCCAGTGTTTTCATTTGTGTGCAGCCTCTTCTTCAGATCCTGAACACTTGCTGCAAATGGATGTGGCAATAATAATACATACCTCATAGGGTTGTTGTGAGGATGAAATAAACTACTATGTGGGAAATGCCTAGAACCATGCCTGACATATATAAGGTTTGTATAAGTACAAAGAACAATATTAGTATACTTATCATTATTAGTAGTATCACCAAGGAATCACCATGAACTTGAACTTTTGCTATGGAAAGGTTTCTACTGGCCCTGATAGAAAAAGAAAGTTCCAGTCTCCTCTGCAGGCCTGTCTGGCGAAGGACTGCTTAGACTATACTCTGAAGACTAAGACCCTGGGTTCTCTGCTTCCTCCATCCTTTGTTCTACCATTCAGTGAGAAAATTAAATATAAACTTTCCAGGAATTGGAGACTTCCATTTTTTTATAATATATTTTATTGATGTTTTACAGAGAGGAAGGGAGAGGGAATAGAGAGTTAGAAACATTTATGAGAGAGAAACATTGATCAGCTGCCTCCTGCACACCCCCTCCTGGGGATGTGCCCGCAACCAAGGTACATGCCCTTGACCGAAATTGAACCTGGGACCCTTCAGTCCGCAGGCTGATGCTCTATCCACTGAGCCACACCGGTTAGGGCTGGAGACTTCCATTTTTTTTGTCTCAAACAGCTCTTCTAAAATAAAGTAAAGCTTAGAAAATTATATTCTTTTTTTTTTGCATCTCAGAGTTTATCTTTAGTCTCATTTTGCACATTATCTTTTTTAAATATATTTTTATTAATTTCAGAAAGGAAGGGAGAGGGAGAGAGAGATAGAAGCATCCGTGATGAGAGAGAATCATGGATTGGCTGCCTCCTGCACGCCCCCTACTGGGGATCAATCCCGCAACCAGGGCATGTGCCCTTTACCAGAATTGAACCCTGGACACCTCAGTGTGCAGGCCGACACTCTATCCATTGAGCCAAACCAGCTAGGGCAAAAATTATATTCTTTATTCCATATTTGTTCTAGTCACACTGGCCTAATGGTTGCCCCTCTGTGTCCTGGCATCCTCTGCTGGGTGCTCAACACATGCCTATCATGATTATATATGATCATTAGGCCCACACTGGTCAAAGGGTTGCTAGGACCATAATGATTATTTTTGCTCTGTTCTTTTCCCCTCTTTAAGTGTTATTCTCAAAGGCCTCCCCCCAGGCTCAAATTTTCCAGAAGGAGACCATAAGATCCAGTATACCGTTTATGACCGAGCGGAGAACAAGGGCACTTGCAAATTTCGAGTTAAAGTAAAAGGTAAGACTATTGCTTATTGGCTTTCCATTCTCTTTACAAGAGCAAAGGGAACCCTCTGTGAGCACCCACTATTATATGGATATTTCCCAGCTTGGATTCACTTTTTTCTTTTTAAAAAATAATTCTTTATTGTTGAAAGTATTACATATGTCTCCTTTTGTTCCCCATTGACCCCCTCCAGCCCACCCCTTCCTCCTGCCCCAGGCCCTCACCACTCCATTGTCTGTGTGCATGGGCCATGCCGTATATGCATACAAGATCTTTGGTTGATTACCTCCCACCCACCCACCCTCCCCTGCCTTCCCTCTGAGATTCCGCACTCTGTTCCATGCTTCCATGTCTCTGAGTCCACTCCATTCATCCATTTATTTTGTTGCTTACATTGGGATTCACTTCTTAATGCCTGAATTTCACAATATAAACCTGGATGAGGTTCAGGGCCACTTACTTTGAAGCATGGTAATGATCCCTCCTTAAGGAAAACTGCTGTTTGAAACTACTGTTTTAGAATTCTCTGCTGTTTTGAAATTCTCTGTTATTTTTAGACTGTAAAATAACTTTGTTTTTTAGCTTAAATAATAGAAGAGATAAACTTAATTGTCTAACCTTGCAAGCAAGCCATCTAACATAAGGGACTGATACGATGATACTGATGCCAGGTATCTATATAGATATGTACCCAAGGTTACTGGTGTCTGTATAGATATGATATGATATGATACTCAAGGTTACAAAGTTGTCTGTATAGATATGACAGGTGTTTGCTAGATATGATATGTACTCAAGGTTACAAGCTATCTGCAAAAATAACTGACACAAGGACCTAAAAAAGATATAAAAAGAGAATGCTTACTCCTTTGGGTGTTCAGAATTTGACAGAGATAATCTGCTCTGAACCTGCTCGCAATAAAGATGACTCCTAACTAATTGGCTGATTAAGGTGTCTTGTCCAGCTCACTGATCTGCAATACAACTTAAGGAGTCTGAGAGAGCCATAAGCTACTCTCACATGATCCCACCTCTGGCTATCCTAGAAACATATTATTTGATAACCTTTCCATCCCCGGGCTTGGGTGACCAGCTACCACCTTCAAGTTCTTCTAGAAGGGAGGTAAGAAGCTCTCTAGATTGAGCCACTGGACCATGTTCTTGGTATCCTTAAAACCTTGGGTCTACCTGGAAAAAATTATTTTTCAAATTTATTTTATGCCTCATGGTTTGGGCAGCTAATTACTAACCACATTTTTTTAATTGGAAAAATATTTATTTAATATTTATTTATTATTTTTTATTGATTTCAGAGAGGAAGGGAGAGGGACAGAGAGAGAAACATCCATGATTAGAGAGAATCATGGATCGGCTGCCTCCTGCACGTCCCCCCACTGGGGATCAAGCCTGCAACCTGAGCATGTGCTCTTGACAAGAATCGAACCCGGGACCCTTCAGTCCATAGGCTAATGCTCTATCCACTGAGCCAAACTGGCTAGGGCTAATTACAAACCATCTTTACTCTGTAGTCTTCTGTTTTCAACCTCTTCATATAAAACACGGGGCTAAACTAGTTGATCTCAATGGTCTTGCTGGCATGAACAATAACCATTGCAAGGCCCACCCCCTGGCCAGATAGCCATGCCTGCCCCCTCACTCATTTCACATGATGATGTAGAAGCCTGATGACAAAGCTGGGGCATCTGAGATTTCACTTCCCCTAGTTACTCTGTGGAGGGGAGCTTAGCATTGAGACCTACTTGGGCTTGTGTTCCTACAGTCAAACGCTGTGGAAAACTCAACGCCCCCGAGAATGGTTACATGAAGTGCTCCAGCGACGGGGATAATTATGGAGCCACCTGCGAGTTCTCCTGCATCGGCGGCTATGAGCTTCAGGGTAGCCCTGCCCGAGTATGTCAGTCTAACCTGGCTTGGTCTGGCACAGAGCCCACATGTGCAGGTACGTGTGCAGCCCTCTCTGTCCCCATCTCTGTCCCCAGCAGCAGAACCTGAAAACCCCTTGCTTCTGGATTCAAGTACAGGGAGGAAGGATTTCATTCTACATGCTTGGAAAGGTTCAATGCCATCCCTCTTTTTTAAAAATATATTTTTATTGATTTCAGAGAGGAAGGGAGAGGAGAGAGAGAGAGAGAGAGAGAAACATCAATGATGAGAGAGAAACATCAATGATGAGAGAGAATCATGGATTGGCTGCCTCCTGCATGACTCCCCTACCAGGAATGGAGGTGGATGTTCAACCACTGAGCCACGCCAGCGCCAGCTGGGCAAATGCATTGTATTTATAAAGCATGCGTTACTTTTCATGTTTTCACTGCTATATCTGAGGTAGGTGGGGAAGATATAAATAAACCAGGTTACAGCCCTGGCCGGTTTGGCTCAGTGGATAGAGCGTCAATCTGCAGACCGAAGGGTCCTGGATTTGATTCTGGTCAAGGGCACTTACCTCAGTTTCAGGCTCCTCCCCTGGCTCAGGCCCTGGTCGGAGTGCATGCAGAAGGCAACCAATCAATGTTTTTCTCTCACATTGATGTTTCTCTCCGTCTTTTCCTCTCTCTTCCACTCTCTGTGAAAATCAATGGGAAAATATCTTTGGGTGAGGATTAAAAAGGAAAGAAAGAAAGAAAGAAAAAGAAAGAAAGAAAGAAAGAAAGAAAGAAAGAAAGAAGAGAGAGAGAGAGAGAGAGAGAGAAGGAAGGAAGGAAGGAAGGAAGGAAGGAAGGAAGGAAGGAAGGAAGGGAAAGAAGAAAGAAAGAAAGAAAGAAAGAAAGAAAGAAAGAAAGAAAGAAAGAAAGAAAGAAAGAAAGAAAAAGAAGAACTTACCTCTTTCCTTTCCCATTTCATGTCCTGAAGTGGAGAGAATAATGACTCTCTCCCACCCCTTTTCCCCATGTCCACAGATAATCCCCAGAACCTGTGAATAGGTTCCCTGACATAGCCAAAGGGTTGTTGCATGTGTCTTTATGTTAGTTAAGGATTTTGAGGTGGGCCGAGTATACTGAATTCTCCAGGGTGGCCCAATGTCATCACTAGGGTTTTTAGAAGAAGGAGGCAGAACTGCTGTCAGAGCCAGAGAACATGATGATGGACACAGCCCGGCTGGTGTGGCTCAGAGGTTGAGTGTCAACCTATGAACCAGGAGGTCACGGTTCGATTCCCAGTCAGGGCATATGCCCGGGTTGTGGGCTCGATCCCCAGTGGGGGGCGGGGAGGGTGCAGGAGGCAGCTGATCCATGATTCTCTTTCATCATGGATGTTTCTATCTCTCCCTGTCCCTTCCTCTCTGAAATCAATACAAATATATATTTAAAAAATCTGGGGGTTGTTCTGCCAACACCTTGACTCCAGGCCAGGGAAACCCATTTCACACTTCTGATGGTCAGGACTGTGTGAGAATAGATTGGTGTGTGTTAAGCCACTGAGTTCCTAGTGATTTGTCATAACAGTAAAAGGAAACTAATATAGCTTAGAGCTCAACCAAGGCCCCAAAGGGGAAAGAATATTACACTTGTAATCTTCTTCAAATATCCATGTTTTTATTGCCCTGCATCTTACAGTTCTACTAGGGCTAATATTTACAAGATTCAAAACAATGTTCTATTCGTGGGCCATTTGTGTAACACAACACCAATGAATAGATTTTCACAAGGATTTAATATACACATGGAGTATAAATTGTTAGAGGAATTCACCAGTTAAATAAAATTGAATAATAAGGAGTTTGGAATAATAAGGTGTTTCCAAAAAATTTTTTTAAGTCATAAATAATGACCAAAACACCAACTTTCATTATATTTTAGATCTTACTGTCCAAGTTCTAAGTGTTTGAAATAATTTTTAGTGTTTCCAAACTTCCTTGTGTTGTGGCAGCAATTCAAATGGCCCAGGAGAACGATCAGTCAGCACTCAGAGGAATCAGGAAAGAAAACCTTTATTATGCAGCGCTGCTAGTCCAGGGGATTCTGATCCAAAGCCTGAACTGCCTATAGGGGAAGGTTTTGAGACTATATATATATATATATATATATATATATATGTAGCCCAGTGCACGAAATTCATGCACATTAAAAGGGAATTAATTAGCAGAAATATTTTAATATTGCTATTTGCCCTTTCTCTATAATAAAAGTGTGAGAGATGAAAGGAAATTAGTAAAATGTATATGAAAATAATATATAAATTTATTAATAAATAAACAGTAACAAAAGGATATAACAGCAACAGAGGCATGATATAAAAAAGACAAAAACATGATATGAAAACAACAAAAACATGATATAAAAACAACAGTGATGCAAACAATGACCGATAAAGTGATTCAACTTATTCTCATATCTCCCTGTACACCACATTAAGAGTAAAAACACTTTCAGAGTGCTTGACTAATTTCCCTTGTGATGAAGTATTTAGAACTTTAACTGTAATGTCACATGCTCTTTAAACTCGAGAGAAAGCAACATATAACTGAGCATGTGAGAAAACGAGTTCAGGTAGGAATATTCCTACCCTGTCTAGAGTTTGTCCTTGTGATTTATTAATAATCATCGCAAATGCTGGCATCACGGGAAACCATCGTCAAATTCATTTAAATGGGAGGCCAGTGTCAGATGAGGACAAATCAATTCTTGGAATCAGAACAATCTCTCCCTCTGCAGATCCTGTTAATACTTCAGCTTCGATAATGTTAGGTCATAATCTTTTGATAATAAATCTGGTACTATTACAAAGACCCCATGTACTATTAAGATTTCTCAATAGCATGATGATTGCACCCACTTTCAATTTTAATTTATGACACAGCATTCCCGAAGGAGTAATACTATTAAGAAATTCGATGGGGAAATTTTCCTTTTCAGCATCATCTGTGGAATCAATGGAATCATCACTCAAATATGTGTGAAACTCTCCATCGAGTATATCCAAATTTTCTTCATTTAATTTTTGAACATGCTCATTTTTTGGACAAAGAATTGCATGTTTAGATATATTTTTAATATTATCTATAGATATACTATTTCCAAAGGTAGCTTCAATAATAGATCCATTACAAATCATTTCACAGAGGATTTCAATAATATCCATTCCTAAATGAAAACTGCTATCAAGTTTGCCATCTCCAAGTTTTACTAACTATTCACTATAAGCAGAGTCCTCTGATCTCATATTTGTTTTAAGAGATAACTTTCTGAAACATCCCCAAACATTACAGTACTTTAAACTCGTTTGTACTATGGCCGATCCCATAGCATGTGGTACAATACTGAGACATTGTAGAAAATCCCATCCAAGAAGGAGAACTTTCCCACCAAATACAACATTCAAATTCATAATTTCTCTTAGTAATCTGTCTATAGCGTTTATAGCATGATTGGATGCCATGATGCATTCATCAATAATGAGTAGTTGGGCCTTTTTAATAGTTTTAGCAACTTCACTGTTTATATCAAGTCTAGAAATTGAAGTTTCATTTAATGGAATTGGTTATTTATATTGGGAATGAAAGGTTCTTCCACTGAGAAGTAAATTTGCAGCAATTCCTGTAACCCAGTGGTTCTCAACCTTCTGGCCCTTTAAATACAGTTCCTCATGTTGTGACCCAACCACAAAATTATTTTCGTTGCTACTTCATAACTGTAATGTTGCTACTGTTATGAATCGTAATGTAAATATCTGATATGCAGGATGGTCTTAGGCGACCCCTGTGAAAGGGTCGTTCGACCGCCAAAGGGGTCACGACCCACAGGTTGAGAACCACTGCTGTAGATGCTGTGGATAAAACAGTACCACCACAACCTCTAATACAGTGTATTAAAACTTTATTGTGGGCAGCCACTACAGTGTTTTGGACAGGTTCAAGCCTTGGACTGATGAGAGGGCACAGTCCTCTCATTGCCATGTGCAAGTCCCAGCTTGGAGGGCAGGGCCCTCCCAGCACAATTATAGCCAACAGCTGTAGTTGTAAGCTTGAACTTATGGTCCAAACACATGGCCCCACATGCCTGAGTGATGTAGGCTTGATAGAGTTCAGATGCATGTAGTTGAGTAGGATTGAAACCCAGGAGAATGTTGTAAACATCTTGGTCACGCCCTTACTTTGCCTCATGGCATCTGCTATAAAATAAAGACAAGGCTGTGGGCGTGGTTGCTGTCTCTCAGAGAAGCAGAGTCCCACCGAGACCCAGCTTTCATTCTCTTGTCTGTCTTTTCTAAGCCTTTCAGTTGCCCCCACTCAGGTTCACCCTTGGCCGTGCTGATGCGGCACACTTGATAAAGATATGCCTCCACGCTCTGAGGGTGGGTTCCTACCTCAAACCTCGCCCTTACTGGAAACAGCTCTGGGAAACAGCTTGGGGGAGGGCGCAGCCGTTGCCAAGACAACCCCTGCAGGACTGACTTCCTTCCGGTTGGTCATGCCTCAGGTCGTGATGTTGCACCCAAGGTTTTTATATATGTATATATATATTTTTGCGGCAGGCCCCTCGGGGTTGGCTTTGTAGTCAGAATGGGGCTTGTAAGATTACTGTTTAACTAGATACTGAACTAGGCTGTAAGCCCCCAAAGTTGCCTCCCTATTTTCTTTCTCACTTGAAATACATTTTCTTCATGGCAGAAAGTAACTCTCATGTACTTTTTGGTAAATTATAACTAGAAATAATTCTAGTTTACTTGTAAGTCTTGATAAAACTATCTAAATAAGGTAAGTAAACTTTATACAAAACTCAAAAAAAAGAGGAAACTAATATACTTCCCTACTCTTGAGAGTGGCTTCTTGAGACCACCCGGTGAATAACTGCTTGCAACTGAATCTTTATCTCAGGGCCCATCTCTTACACATATGGTTCTGTGTGTCATCATAGGCTAGGTGGAGCCAGAACGAATAGACCATTTTTTTCTCTCTCTTTTTTTTAAGTTGTGACAGGCTCAAGGACACTAAGATTCTCTGAAAAGGAAGTCAAGACTTAGGGTGGTGAACACACAATACAACATATAGAAGATGTAGTATAGAATTGTACACCTGAAACCTATGTCATTCTATTAACCAATGTCACCCCAGTAAATTCAATAAAAATGTTTTTAAAAAAAGGAAATCAAGTTGTTTCTCCTGCTTTTTATTTAGACAGAGTCTAAATCTAATGAGGTGAAAGCTACTGGGTCTCACCTCTGGATGAGCAATCTGGGGAGTCCTATAAAATTTATTCATTTATTATTTTTAAAATAATTCCTTACTGTTGAAAGTATTACATATGTCCTCCTTTTCCCCCATTGACCCTCTCCAGCCTCCCTCCTTCCCCCCGCAGGCCCTCACCACCCCATTGTCTGTGACTATGGGCCATGAATATATGCATACAAGAATAAGTAGACCATGTCCCACTGATCTGGCCTTTTCTAATCACAGCTATGAATATCAATGTGGGCGTCAGAACAGCTGCAGCACTTCTGGATCAGTTTTATGAGAAAAGGAGAATCCTCATTGTGTCTACGCCCACAGCCCGAAACCTGCTCTACAGGCTGCAGCTGGGAATGCTACAGGTGAGTTCCTGGGGCAAAGACAAGGAAGGGACCTCTAATAGGAAGGAAAGAACCAGTTATTTACTTAAAAATAGAGGCCAGCAAGATATTTAGCTCTAACAGGAAGAGAAGGAAAGGAAAGAGCAAGAATTTTTTAAAAAAATGTGCCCCAGCTTTATCTTATCTAATAAAGAGGTAATATGCAAATTAACTATCACTCCAACACACAAGATGGCCGCCCCCATGTGGACACAAGATGACCACCACAAGATGGCTGGCAGGGGAGGGCAGTTGGGGGGGGGGGAACCAGGCCTGCAGCGTAGGGCAATTGGGGGCAACCAGGCCAACAAGAGAGGGGAGTTGGGGGGTGCAGGCCTGCAGGGGAGAACAGTTAGGGCTGACCAGGCTGGCAGGGGAGGGCAGTTAAGGGCAATCAGGCCAGCAGGGGAGCAGTTAGGCATTGATCAGGCTGGCAGGGGAGTGGTTAGGGGGTGATTAGGCTGGCAGACAGGCAAGCAGTTGGGAGCCAGCAGTCCTGGATTGTTAGAGGGATGTCCGACTGCCTATTTAGGCCTGATTTCAGTTGGACATCCCTTGAGGGGTCCAAGAATGGAGAGGGTACAGGCTGGGCTGAGGGACACATTCCCCCCCCCCCCAAGTGCACGAATTTTGTGCACTGGGCCTCTAGTTGAGATATAATTGACATTGTGTAAGTTTAAAGTGTACAATGTCTTGATTTGATACATTTGTATATTACAAAATGATTTACCACCACACGTTAGCTAACATCTTCATCACGTCACATAACTGCCATTTTTTTTTGTGATGGTAAGAATATTTAAGACCTACTCTCTTAGCAACTTTGAAATACATTGAACAGTTCTATTAATTAAAATGACCATGCTGTACATTAGATCCCCATAAGTTATTCATTTTAAAACTGGAAGTTTGTGACCAACATCTCCCCATTTCCCCTATACCCCTGCCCCTGGTACCCACCATTCCAGTCTATGTTTCTATGAATTTGACTTTTATAGGTTCCATATATAAATGAGATCATATAGTATAAAAAAAAGTAAAGGCCAGTTTCAATGCTTAATCCGTTTACCTTGAGCTTCAGGCACTGGTACATTAGAGTTATCACTATTCCTTTCTGGTTCTGGAACATCACCTGATTAACATGGACTCCTTCCCAGCACAAACCCGATCATTTTTCCAATGAATAAAATTAGTTTGTCTTCACTAATGAGCCTCACTGACATGCTGTCTAGGCCCAGCCAAAAAACAATTGTCTTTGCTGAACCTGTCCAGGATATGCCCAAAAGTTTGGCTCAAGGGATAAGGGGAGTCCAGGAGCCCTCAGGCCCCAGATTCTACCCCCCCCCACCTTTCACCTGGGAGCTCACTGGAAATGCAAATTCTCAAGCCCCATTCCAGACCTACTGGATAAGGATCTACATTTTCATTCAATCAGGTGATTCCTAAGCACCTGGAAATTTGAGGAACACTTTTGTAGGAAATGTGCCCTTCCCAGCTGTGCAAATTTTTTAACTACTAAATGAGTCAAACAGTGTCTTTAAAAAACAACAACTAGGGCTTGTGCTTAGTCGGGGGAGCAGCCAAGGAGAAGTCAATGGGGGGGGGGGAGAATGAGAAAAGGAGACATATGTAATACTTTAAACAATAAAAAATTTAAATAAAAAAATAAAACAACAACAACTAGCCAGTTTGGCTCAGCGGATAGAGCATCGGCCTGTGGACAGAAGGGTCCTGCGTTCGATTCCAGTCAAGGGCACATACCTTGGTTGCAGGCTCCTCCCCGGTCCAGGCCCTGGTTGGGGCATGTGCAGGAGGTAACCAATCGATGTGTTTCTTTCACATCATGTTTCTCTCTGTCTTTCCCTCTCTCTTTCACTCTCCCAAAAAAATCAATGGAAAAATATCCTCAGGTGAGGATTAACAAACAAACAAACAAACAAGTAGATACTGAAAGGATCGAGTTGGAAGTAGCTTGATTTTGTCTTTAAGCTTCTTTGCAATAGGAGTAGCTAATTTGACTGAATGCTAAAGAGAGAGGATGTGCACTGGGGCATGGACACAGTGCTGTACATTATTGTTTTTAGGAATATTTCATTTATTACAGTGAATATAACTATGTGTTTACAATAATCTTGATTTCATCAAAAGCTACAATTTTACTTCTCAGTTCAGCATTAATTCAATGACTCTGAAATCTTCATTCTCCTCGTGTACTTGAAGGAATTCCCATAAACTTGGAACAACTATACAAAATTTTTCAGGTTTTCCTGGCTGGCGTGGCTCAGTGGTTGAACAACCCATGAACCAGGAGGTCATAGTTTGATTCCCAGTCAGGGCACATGCCCAGGTTGCAGGCTTTATCCTCAATGGGGGTGTGCACGAGGCAGCCGATCTATGATTTATGATTCTCTGTCATCATTGATGCTTCTATCTCTCTCTCTCCTTCTGTCTTACTCTCTGAAATCAATCCTCCTATATAATAAAAGGCTAATATGCAAATTGTCCCCTCAAGAGTTCAACCGTGAGTTTGATCGCTCGCTATGACGTGTGCGGGCCACCAGGGGGCAGTGTGGAACATGGCAGGTGACCAGTGGTGGAGCAAGGGAAGGAGGAGGCGGGGAGGTGGGGAACCTGATTGGCCCTGATCAGCGGCTAGGCCTAGGAACCCTACCCATGCATGAATTTTGTGCACTGGGCCTCTAGTAAAAAAAAAAAATATTTAAATCTTTTTCTCAGGTTCCTTAAATAGGAACCCAATTCATGCTGTCTTTAGCCCCAATCCTGACACTTACCTCCATCCTCATATTCCCTTGTCCCAATTATGGGACTTGCTGTTCAGGTAACACAAGCTCACACCACTGCAGTATGTGAGAAATTGGCCTTCCAGTCTATATTCCATGATCATATGTTTCCTGACCTCTTCCGTTCTATAGAAAAACTAGAGGCCTGTTGCACGAAGAGATTTGTGCAATAGGCCTTCCTTTCCCCTGGCTGCTGGCACCGGTTTTACTCTGGCACCTGGCACCTAGGCCTTTGCTCTGGCCGTGCTCCAGTCGGAGCCGGCTCCATGAGGCTTTCGCTGCTCCACTGGCCCCGGGGCCGTGAGGCTTTCACTGCTCAGGCCCCCCGGCCGTCAGTCTTCGCTCCACCTCTTGGAGCCTACGTATGCAAATTAACCGCCATCTTTGATAGGTTAATTTGCATACTCTCCTGATTGGCTGGTTAGCATAGCGAAGGTATGGTCAATTTAAATGTTTGTCTATTATTAGGTAAGATGATTAAGCCAAAACAACTTCCTTTTCCTCTATGTGGGAAAACTATGACTTTTGTAGGTAAAACTTTATTGGGACACAGCCACACACATTCATCTGTGCATTGTCTGTTGCTGTCTGTGCACCACTGTGGCACAATGGATTAGGACAGAAGCCATCTGTCTCTGCAGAACCTAATATATTGGCTCCCTGGACCTTTGTGGGAAAGGTCTGCTGACCCCTGCCCTAGTCTAGTCCATTACTTTGGGGACCAGCAAAATTACCAATCAACAGGTTGGATTAAATATTTGGCATCTAGGTGTTTATGTGTGACCTCCCACCACTCAATATATTTATATTTCTTTTTTAATATACTTTTATTGGTTTCAGAGAGGAAGGGAGAGGGAGAGAGAGATAGAAATATCCATGAGGAGAAAGAATCATTGATTGGCTGCCTCCTGCATGCCCCCTACTGGGAATGGAGCCCACAACCTGGGCATGTGTCCTTGACAGGAATCAAACCCGGGACCCTTCAGTCCACAGGCTGACACTCTATCCACTGAGCCAAACCAGCTAGGGCTATATTTGTATTTAAACCAGAGCCTTCAAGGGAAGGTTTGATCAACTTACATGTTTCAGTTAGAATAATAAAAAAGTATATTTTTATCTTTCTTAAGTGTTTTTTTGTTTGTTTGTTTTACCAATTCTGTCATCCAATATAGGGTTGTTTCAGTGGAATTGTCATTTAAAAAATGGTGTTCTGCATTAGCCAGTTTTGCTCAGTGAATAGTCAGCCTGTGGATTGAAGGGTCCTGGGTTCGATTCCTGTCAAGAGCACATGCCCGGATTTTTGCCTCGATCCCCAGTGGGGTGACGTGAAAGAAACAGCTGATCCATGATTCTCTCCCATCATGGATATTTCTATCTCTAGATCCTTCTCCCTTCCTCTCAGAAATCAATAAAAAAATTTTTAATGGTGTTCTAATAATTCAGGAGGTTCATATTCCCCCCCCCCATTATGTACGTTGTGTTCCCCATGGCCATTGCTGCTACTGATGAGAGACCTCCTGGCACAGGACTGAATGAGCCATGTTCCTGTGCCTCTTGCCAAGGGCCAGCTCAGAGAACTGAAACATTTTATCCTTGTTTCCCTGGCATGCTGGGTTGTGGGGACTCAGCAAGGGGTGCATAGGGTGGAAACAAGGTCAGGTAGAGGGACTCTGGAAAACATTTTCTCTTTGCAAAGACAAATTTAGAATCCTCTGGAGGTATTCTTGGACACTTTCTAGGAAATTTGGCTCCTGTAAAATCTTACCTCATCTGGAAAGACGGAGACTGCTATTTTGCTTAGGTTTTCAAAATTCCATTGGCAAGGCCATTCTGAATGATTCCTCTAGAAACTGTTAAGGTTTTCCAGCCACTGGTTTCACCCCAGTTTTCAATTGTTTTCAGGACACTGTGGAGTGGGCAAATAAACCTCCAAAAACTTCTCTAGCTAATGTGGCTCAGTGGATAGAGTGTTGTCCTGCGGACTAAAGGGTCCCAGGTTCAATTCCAGTTAAGGGCACATGCCTGGTTTGTGGGCTCGATCCCCAGTAGGGGCCGTGTAGTAGGAGCCGGTCCATGATTCTCTGTCATCATTAATGTTTCTCTCTCCCTCTCCCTTCCTCTCTGAAATCAATAAAAATATATTTAAAAGAAAAAGCCAGACCAATTCTGTTTCCTTTAATCTATGATTTGACATGGAAGTCTCTTTCTTCAGCCATGCTCACACCTCCCCTACTTGTTTTTTCTTTTCCAGCAAGCACAGTGCAGCCTGGATCTTCGACATATCACTGTGGTAGAGCTGGTAGGCGTGTTCCCGGCCCTCATTGGCAGGATAGGAGCGAAAATTATGCCTCCAGCCCTAGCTCTGCAGCTCAGGTAGGGGGATGTCCTGTTCTGAAATGTTCTCCCTACAAATGTACATTTTTCTGATCGGGTTCCCTGGTTTCTTACTATTCAGTCTTGATTCCAGGTAACCTTCATTGTGTAATTGCTTTTTTCTCTTCTTTCACCCTCCAAACAAGTGTTTTTGCTTTGTCTTTGTTCTTTTTTCCCCACTTGGTGGGAGTAGGATGGGTAGAGGAGAGCCTGCCCAAAAGATTTCTCCCTCCCCGCCCCCCTGCCCCACCAAAAAACTAGATACTTCTCTTCTTAAAGATGTGTGAAAATTTTTTTTTATTTTAAATCCAGATGGCAGTATGTATTCTATCTCACAAACAATTTCTAAACTAAAAAAACAAAATCTGGAAAAGAGATTGAGCAGGCTCATTTTTTCACTGGGCTCAGCTTATGCATTGCTTTCTTCTTCTTCTTCTTCTTCTTTTCTTCTTCTTCTTCTTCTTCTTCTTCTTCTTCTTCTTCTTCTTCTTCTTCCTTCTTCTTCTTCTTCTTTTCTAGGATACTTTTCAATTGATTTTTATGGAAAGTGGAAGAGGGGGAAAGAGAGAGAAACATCAGTGTGAGAGAAACTCATCAATTGGTTGCTTCCCGCATGAGCTCAGACTACGGGCCCAGGATGGGGAGGAGACTAACCAAGATACATACCCTTTACCGGAATCAAATCCAGGACCCTTTCATCCATAGGCCCAACACCCTATCCACTGGGCCAAACTGGGTAGGGCTACATTGTTTGCTTTCTTTGGCTTTCTTCATCTAAACATGTTTGTATTGATATAAAGATCATATTTTCTTGCAGTTTTAATTCTAGTGAAGTAGAGTCCAAAAACAATTGGACTTTTGAAACTGCTTCAAAATTTTTTGGGAATCATTTGAGGTACAAATTATAATGAACCAAATTCAATCCCCTCTGATTGTGCTATCTTGTACTGGCTACAGAACGGACCAGAATTTCAAAGTTTAGAAATGTACTTCAATCAGCTTCACCTAGTCCAGGCTTTTTCAACCTTGCACTATTTTTTAAAAATATATTTTATTGATTTTTTATAGAGAGGAAGGGAGAGGGATAGAGAGTTAGGAACATCGATGAGAGAGAAACATCGATCAGCTGCCTCCTGCACACCCCCTACTGGTGATGTGCCTGCAACCAAGATACATGCCCTTGACTGTAATCGAACCTGGGACCCTTGAGTCCTCAGGCTGATGCTCTGTCCATTGAGCGAAACCAGTTAGGGCTCAACCTTGCACTATTGCCATTTGGCTCTGGATAGTCATTTTTGGCAGGTGTCCTGTGCATTAGAGATGTTAAGCAGCATCCTTGGCCTATACCCCATTATGACAACCAAAAATATGTCCAGACATAGCCAAATGTCCCCTGTTGATAACCACTGACCTAGATCTAGTGCCTATGTGGTTGTGCAAACCTAATAAGCAAAGTTGGATTGACTCCAACTTAATGCAAAATATCTGTTAGGTTTGTTGTACATGACTTGTAGCAACAATTGGTACATGGCACCATTGCAGGCCTACTGACTTCTTGCCCATTATAATCTAAAGCCATTTGGAGTGCTATTCAACCTTCTATGGGCATGTCTGTCATCTGCGGATCTTGCTAATAATGCAGATTCTACCTAATTCAGTAGGCTTGGGTGGGGAGTGTGGGATTGTCCATTTCTTTCTTTCTTTTTTTTTTCTTCAAAACAAAGCTAACCATTTATTAAATTATTATAATGCTTCCAGCACAGTCTTCATCATTTTACACACTCCATTTCATTTAATCCTTACAACAGACCTAGGAAAGGAGGTAGTATTATCTGATTTCGAGATTCAGGCTTAGAGGCTAAGGTGTTTAAAACCATAATTCAACCCTTCTGTCCACACCAGCAAATAATGCCCCCCATTCCCCAAAAATGGGGTGAGGGAGGAATTCCCACATACGATACTGGTGAAGGACTTGTCTCCATTTCTATGAAAATGCTTTTTAAAAAGTTATTGTTTGCATAGAGCAGATTCTTGATAAATACTATTTTGGGCCACAAAAACAACCATCAGGATTCAAACTAGGGTCTTTCAGATGCTCTTACATGTCTGCTTATATTACTTTATAAACATCACTTCAGGAAATAATTTTTAAAATAATTCTTTACTTTTGAAAGTATTACATATATCCTCTTTTTCCCCCCATTGACCCCCTCCAGCCTGCCCCATCTCACTGCCCCATTGTCTGTGTCCATGGGTTATGCATATATGCATACAAGGTTGTTGGTTGATTACCTCCCACCCACCCACCCTTCCCCACCTTCCCTCTGAGATTGGGGTTCTCCATTTCTAACAAGATTCCATGTAATGGACCACACTTTTTGTAGCAAGGGTCTCAAGGCTGATTCAGTCTTTTGTGGTATGAAGCTTTTCTGTGCACACAGTATGACTATAGGGCTCTGGTTGATGCACCAAAACCCTTGGGAGTCAGGTTTGACATATCCTTCTCTCTCTCTCTCTCTCTCTCTCTTTTTTTTTTTGTTGAAATATATTTTTACTAGTGGCCCGGTGCACAAAATTCATGTACATTAAAAGGGAATTAATTAGAGGTGGTGGGGACTCAAGCCTCAAGTCCCAGGCCCATTGCCAGGGGCAGGGGCATGAGCCTCATGTCTCTGGGCCAGCTCAGGGGGTAGGGATGCAGCCTGCTGATCAGTTGCTAGGTGACAGCGTCCTGACCAGTTTGCATATTATCTTATTATTAGCTAGATTGATTTCAGAGAGGAAGGGAGAGGGAGAGATAGAAACATCAACGATGAGAAAGAATCATGGATTGGCTGCCTCCTGCGTGCTGCACAGTAGGGATCAAGCCTGCAACCTGGCCATGTGCACTTGACCAGAATTGAACCTGGGACCCGTCAGTCCACAGGCCAACAGTCTCATCAAACTGGCTATGGCTTGACATATTCTTCTCTTAAAAAAAAAGAAATTTTTTTATTGATTTCAGAGAGGAAGGGAAAGGGAGAGATAGAAACATCAATGAGGAGACGGAATCATGGATTGGCTGCCTCCTGCACGCCCCCTACTGGGGATTGATCACACAACCAGGGCATGTGCCCTGACCAGGAATCAAACCTGGGACCTGTCAGTCTGAAGACCTACACTCTATCCACTGAAACTAATGGCTAGGGCTTGACATATTCTTTTCTTTTTCTGCCCTAGGCTGTTGCTACGAATCCCGCTCTACTCCTTCAGCATGGTGCTGGTTGATAAGCATGGCATGGACAAGGAGCGTTATGTCTCCCTGGTGACCCCTGTGGCCCTCTTCAACCTGATTGACACATTCCCACTGAGGAAAGAGGAGATGGCCCTGCAAGCGGAAATGGGCCAGACGTGCAACACCTAATGTGATGGTTCCTTTCTGTGTAGTCCCTCTTCTTTTTCTACATAGTGCTAATCACCCAGAAAGTCTTTAAACATATCCTTGATGTACAGATTTTTATTTGTAATTTTAAAATTCTATTTTATTACGACCTTTTTTGCATTTAAAAATTAACACAATGCTTTCTGTACTTTGACATTTTCCAAAAAAAGATAAGACTATATTTACTATTTCCAACTTTCTTTACTCCATGATGGGCTGGTTAATTTTAGAAAGCACAATCGTACACATGCTTTTAATATGTTATTCAGTGTGACTGGTAACTTTTCTTTCATCATTTTTATGTAAAATTTTTACTAATAAAATATTTTGGAGCAAATTTGTTAAAACTCATTTTATTTTTCAAGTGCACCAGCCATACTTAGTGTGGTCAATGGTTTTAGGCCTGAAAGTTTGCCAGGCCACTTTGCAGCTGAATGGCCCCCTTGCTCTTCAGCAAGAACCAGATTTCTAAAGAGAGGCCTCTCTAACTGGAGGGATGGAAAGGAAGAAAGCAGACAAAGAGAGCAAAGGAATGCCTTTCCTGCTGTCTGCCCCAGGATTTCAGCAAGAGATCTGCTCATTGACCTCTGAGAACCCCCTTCCCACTCAAGGTTTCCCCTAACAGGCCCTGGGTAAACCCAAAGCCACAAGTGAAAACATATCTCAACCTGCTCTAGCACCCCCTGTGTCTGTCTGTACCACGCCATCTTTATTATGTACATATTCCAACCTTATTGATGAGTCAGCTCTCATAAGAATAACCAAAAATTCTTGCTATAGTTTGACATTCTAGAAAACAAAAGAAAGGCTCCTAACAACTAACCTGTTGAATTGTTCGAATAAAAGTAAACAAAGCTTTACCTAAATAAGAAAGGTTTTCTTGCCCTAGCTGGTTTGGCTCAGTGGATAGAGCATCAGCCTGTGGACCAAAGGGTCCTGGGTTTGATTCCGGTCAAGGGCATGTACCTTGGTTGCAGGCTTCTCCCTGGCCTGGGCCCTGGTCAGGGAATGTGCAGGAGCCAACCAATTCATGTGTTTCTCTCACATCAATGTTTCTGTCTTTCCCTATCTCTTCCACTCACTTTAAAAAGCAATTGGAAAAATATCCTCAGGTGAGGATTAACAAAAATGAAAGAAAAAGAAAGAAGAAAGAAAGAAAGATGTACATTTGCAACCATTCCCAGGCACACTAAGTGGAAATAAACATGAGGTAAAGTCTGATTGATGTATTCTTTTCCCGATGCTAAGTGTGAATGTGATCAGCATCCAGCAGTGCATCCTCGTTTCTGAATGTTGTGAATCCTTTGAAGTTGCCATGCCAAGTTCACTGTGTTTGAAATCAGCTGGGGACAGAGAAGCGATGTTTGTTGAAAGTTAAATGTTTGTAGGGTATTTTTTTTCTTGCACTCCTTGTGTGAATATGACGCTACAGAAATAAGATTTTTTTAAAAGCACAGGCATTACGAATGAATATGTTCCTTGGAATGGAAGTGTGGAGGGAGGAGAGCATCGTAGTGTTGTCAAGTTCCTCCCAGGAAGCTGTATGGGAAGCCATGTGTCTGTGTCAGTGTTGGTGAGAGGATTGCATTTGTCAAGGCGTGTCCCTGCTTGGCCAGCAGGTGGAGCCAAGACCTAGGTGAGGAGGAATGTTTGTGTCTGTTCCTGTTGGAGAGATTTCCTTGTCATCATCCCTGCAGGATGCGAGGCTCCTGAGTGGGCACTGAGGGCAGAGGTGGCCCTTTGTAGCGGGTGTCTGAAAGGGGGGATCCCGTGGCTATTTTGTTTTTGTACTGGAAGCCGTATTTTTTGTTCGCCGGAATGGCAGAATGAATTCCCGGCCAGAAAGTGTCGTAGCCTAGCCAGTGTGGAGCTGTCTTGAAGAAGTGCAGACTGCCACGTAGGGAGAGTGAAAAGGGTCCCACTGGGTTCCTTTTTTCTATATGCTGTCAAGGGTGCAGATTGTGGTGGCTGCTATTCCCTCTGCTGGGTCCATATTCCCCTTGGAGTTGGTTCCCCTAGTGCTGTGATGGCGAACCTATGAGAAGCGTGTTAGAGGTGATACGCGAAGTCCCTTTTTTGGTTGATTTTTCTTTGTTAAATGGCATTTAAATAGATAAAATAAATATCAAAACTATAAGTGTTTGTTTTACTATGGCTGCAAATGTCAAAAAATTTCTGTATGTGACATAGCACCAGAGTTCAGTTCAGGTTTTTCAAAATGCTGACATGCCGAGCTCCAAAGGTTCGCCATCACTGCGCCTAGTAAGTCCTGGGCTCCAAGGTTGACCTTCTCATGGGCCTCTTGAGGTTGTCCCCCCTGTTTCCCTGTGGGCTTTCTTGTTTTGCACCTGAAATAAGGGCTTCCTTGTCTTTTTTTTTTGGTAAATATTGACCTTTGTTGGCTATTTGTTTTATGCAAATACGAGTGTTGGCATTGCCTTGTGTTATGGAGATGTGAGCGCCCCTGGCTTGGTTGTGTTGTGGCCATGTCCCTTGTCCCAGTGTGTGCCCCTGTGTTTTTTCCTTGGAGCCCAATGGTCCCAAATGCCTAAGCCTGCCTGCATCCCCCCTGAAATTGTTGCTTGACTGTGACGGCGTGGCAGCTCAGCTGGTGCTGAGGAAAAAGGTGTCTTCCCATTTGTCATGTGCCCTGAGGCCCGCGGTCCCCCTGTCCATTGTGCTGTGCATTTTTTTTGCTTCACCCCCCAGCCCAGCGTGTTTTAAGCGAGGCCAGCAGTCCCCAATGTTGCGAGGAGCCGGTTTTGTGGAGGGTGGTTTGTAGCTGGGCCATGCAATTGTGTGACGTGTGAGGTGGCAAAGGCTTGGTGTGTGAGTCGTTGAGAAAATGATGGGATTCCCAGGTGAAACACGTGAAGGTGTTTTCCTGGCGTTGGGGGGTGAGGTCCGTTGGCCATGTGAGGAGGGAGGGTCGGTGCCCCCCCCCCCCCCGCTGTGCCCATGTGCCCGTGCAGGCTTTAGTTTGTGAGCCCACGCATCCCCAGGTGTTTGAGCATGTTGGGTGAGTCCCTGTGATGGGGTGGGTGTTGGATGTAAGGTTTGCACAATGAATTGGTGGCTGCGATTGGACAAGCTGGCATCTGCCATGTGCAATTTCCGTCCCCTCCCAGGATGTGGTTTGAATGCCAGGATGGAGTGTTGATCTGGAGTCCGTGATGCCATGGAAGTGCGTTGAACCGTGTCGTCGTAGGAGAAAGCAGATGGGATGTTTGTGGTTGGTGTGTTTCTTTGGTGGATGTGTTGAATGTGGCCTTTGCAGGTTTGCTTGAGTCCCTGAGGGAAGTGGTGCGCAGCGGCCTCAGCAAGGGAAGAGGCCGAAAGTCGCCGGTGAGGATGTCCTGCCAAGCCAAGCCTTGAATTGCAAAGGAGTTTCTATTGGTTGGTCCTGTCCTCGGGCCATGAGTTCCCTGAGCAAGGTGCATTTGCATGTGGATGGAGGCTTTTGAGCTGAGGCAGTTGTGAAATCTCTTTGTCCTTTTGAAGTGGCCTTTGTTGGTCCCCCTGAGGGCGCAGCCCCGGGCCGGGTGGCTGGGAGCAGAACTGCCTGTATTGTTGTGATTGTTTGAATGGTTAAGCCTGAAGTATCCTGCAGCCACGTCAGTTTATATGTTTTTGCCGAAGCCTAGATGTTTGGTTCACTTTGGTTTGTCCTTCCTCCCCCATGTGTCAGGCAGGCCTGGATTTCAAGTGATGCATTGAGCTGTCCTCGTGTGATTTTCCATGTGTAAAAGAAGTTCCTTTGTGTGGAGAGGGCAAGGGCAGCATCGGGGTGCCAAGTCGTTGAGACGAGTTTTGAGGATTTGGAAGGAGGAAGTGCCTGTGGGTATTTGAAAGGGCTGGTGATGTCCTTGCTGGGAGGGAGGGAGGGAGGGAGGGAAGGAAGGAAGGAAGGAAGGGTCGGAGGAGGTTTCTTTAGGCCCAAGCAAAGGTTTGTGGTGTAGAAGGTATATGTTTGTGGCGTGATTGTGTATTTGGACCCGGTGAGTCGTCTTGTTGAGATCCGCCAGAGGGTCCGTTTGCCTGCATGCAGCCCCCTTTTCCCTGAGTGTTCCTTGTGCATGTGCTTGAGATGGTTCCCTGGCTTTGTTGTGGTTGTGTGTTTTTCATGGTCCCTGTATGTATTTGTAGCAGAATGGTCCTATGAGATAGGTTTCGTGGTAAGATTGTTTGGTAGAGTGTGTGGTTTGTGCTTGTTGTGAAGTATGGTACCTATTTGCTTTGTTTAACAATGGACAGGTTACTTTGATTTTCTAAATTGTATAAGTCATCCCATTCGATTGAATGCCTTATTGATTGAATGACTATCCCATTGATTGTGATCTTACTGGTTATCAAAGCACATTCTTCTGTACCTGGGAAACAGGACAGCACAATTACCCTAAATTGTTTTAGTGGCCACAGGTGGTGCGTTCCAGTTGACTCAGTGGTCCTAAGACCAGGACAGTGCAATTACTCTAAATTGCCTCGATGGCTCTAGATAATGTGTTTCTATCAACTCAGTGATCCGGAGACCCAGAACTGTAATTTAGATAACATGCCTAAGTTTAACCCAGGTTACCCAAAGGCTCTAGATAATGTATTTCTGTCAATTCAGTGACCCCGAGACCCGAAACTGTAATTAACATGCTTAATTCTGCTTCTGTAATCTGCTTTTTTGCAAGCCAGGTGCCTCATTCCAAACCCTGGGATGTAATCAATACCTTTGTGATTTTTGCCTATATAAGTCTGGTTTTGCCACCATCTTATTACTATGAGATTTGGGAATGTCCCCTCATAGTCCCGGATTGCAATAAATATGACTCTTTAATTCGACTTCTTGAGGCGTCCTTCTGTGATTCGCGGGGTACATTACAACAGTTGGTTGAAGGAGTTTTTATTGTCATGCATCTGTGAACTGTCAAGCGATGGCCATGAGGTGTTCCTCTTTGCTGCGAGGGCAGAGGCGATGTGGGGGTGGAGGTGAGAGGCGGGGCTGTGTTTGTAGGAGTTGTCCAGTGTGCTTCTGAGGCCAAGGTGTGGTATTCCGTGAGATGAGAAGGTTCGTGAGGTGAGCCTCGAGGCCGATGTAAGTGTAAGTTGGAGTGTCCAAGTGGTAGGGCGTGTTGGTGAAACGTGAGATTTGGTTTGGGGCTCCGTGCAGGGGTCATGGGGTGAGCTTGTGCCATTTTTTGGTCCAGCTAGGCTGTGAGCGATGAGCCAGTGAGAGAGAGGTGTTGGGCAAGTCGTTTGTTTTGAAGTGATATCTATGTCTTTTCCTTTGCAAGTAGTTGAGTGTTGTGTGGCATGGTCCCTATGGCAGGCAGTGGCCAGTGTGTCCCT